CCAGGAATTCCATGAGCTGGTGCACTACATGACAGGGTGGTCAGAAATAGCCCTGCTGGAAAGCTATAAGGATGGCCTCAATGAGGATGTCTACAAGGATTGGTGCTCCCGAGGGGCCCCTAGGGATCTGCAAAGTTGGTACGTGCTGGCTGCTGACCTGGAAATCGACTTGGCCAGAGATCGCTACCGCAGTGGGCGCACCTGGAGCAAACCACCCTCCTCATCCCACAAGGGGGCTCCAAAGGCCGCAGGGGGGCCCACAGGTTCCAAGCCAAAGTCCACCGTGTGCTTCAGATGTGGAAAGGAGGGGCACCAGCAGCTGAGTATTTTTCTAAGCCTGGACCCAAGGTGACCGCTAGTGGAGGGAAGAGAGCCAACAAACTGCCCACAAAACCCCACGAGACCACCCTAAAAGGGGTAGAAGCCGTTGAGTTCGCTCCCCTGAAACAGGATGAATTGGGAACTCCAACCCCCACCGATGACAGCGAAACCGAAACTGATTCCAATGAGGATCTCCTGGTAAGTCAGAGTGGGAGACCCATGACCATCCCAATGGAACTAAAGGTACCATCCACCAGGGCCTATGGGAAGATGCTAGCCCTTCTAGATTCGGGATGCACAAGGTGTGTCATCAGCCCTGAGATTGTGGAAAAGATGGGTCTAAGACTAAAATGATGAAAAGGCCCATCGCATTCTGTCAGCTAGACAGGTCGGTAGCTGGGGGACGCAGCCCATTTTGTAACCAAACCGATTGAGATGAGGATGGGGGATCACCAAGAAACTCTGGGCTTTATTGTGGCCCCTGGCATGGAACGACCCTCTTCTACTTGGGCTGCCCTAGCTCCGAAAATGGAATCCGTGCATAAATTGGAGGACCAGCAAGGGAAGAGAGGTGGGAGCCCCTATTGCATGGCCAGAGTGGTGAGTGAGGTGGTGGCGACTGCAACGGAACAAATTATGGGGCAAAAAAGGATCCCAAAAGAGTACCGGGACCTCTGGGAGGTGTTTAGTGAGAAGGCGTCAGATGTGCTGCCCCCTCACCAGCCTACAGACTCTAGTATAGAAATCCTTCCTGGAGTAAAACTCCCTAAACCAAAGATCTACCCCATGACCCCCTGGGAATTGGGGGAACTACGAGACTTTATTGATAAAAACCTAAAACGTGGCTTCATCCAACTGGCTAGGCCGCGTGTAGCTGCCCCAGTGCTATTCCGGGAGAGGAGGATGGGTCTTTTCGTCGTTCGGTGGTTGGCTATAAGAACTTAAACACTATTTGCATGGAAAATGTCTACCCACTGCCCCTCATGAAGGACATGCTAGCCCACCTGGCTAAAGGGAAGATTTTTACTAAGATGGATTTGCGGGAGGATTATTATAGTGTTCAAATTAAGGAAGGTGATGAATGGAAAACTGCTTTCAACTGCCCGCTGGGATATTTCCAGTTTAGGGTGCTCCCTTTCGGACTACAAGGAGTCCCTGCAGTGTTCATGCAACTGATCAACGAAGTACTGCACAAACACCTTTACAAAGGGGTCCTGGTCTACCTGGTAACATTCTTATTTATACCGAGACCATGGACGACCACGTAAAACTGGTGAGAGCGGTCCTGAAAAAACTTAGAGCTGCGGAGCTGTATGCTAAGCTGTCAAAATGCAAATTCCACCAGACTAAAATTGACCATCTGGGGTACTGCATTTCGCATGAGGGGATAGAAATGGACCCAGAAAAGGTCCGGGCAGTGTTGGAATGGGCTCCCCCACGTACCCACAAACAACTACAAAGCTTCCTGGGTTTTGCTAACTTCTATTGACAGTTCATCCCCTCGTTCGCAAAAATTGCCTTTCCGATTACTAACCTGAAAACAAAAGGAGAGGCGAGGCCAAAACCCTCCTGGCCTCTCGAGTGGACTATGGAATGTCAGGTGGCTTTTGAGAAACTGAAACGACTGTTTGTCACCAAACCGGTCCTTAAACATCCTGACATGGAGGCCCCGTTTGTCATTCAGGCCGACGCCAGCGATGTGTGCCTATACCTCTCGGAAATTATCTGAGACCAAGAGGAGATGGGCCACCTGGGAGAAGGAGGCTTTTGTTGTTCGTTGGGTGCTGTTAACGTGGAGGCATTTCCTGGAAGGGGCAAAACACCCCTTTGAGGTGTGGACTGATCACAAAAACTTAAGAGGCCTTAAAAACGCCCTGAAAATTGTCACCTAAGCAAGTCCGCTGGGCCCAACACTTTAACCGATGTAATTTCTCTCTGTGCTACCTTCCTGGAGGGACGAACTTTATGGCAGATGCCCTCTCAAGACTGCCTTAATACAGTGTTCAGGCAGAAGTGATTCATCCAGTTATCCCCTCAAAATAGCTGGTGGCACCAGTGGTTACCAGATCCCAGGCAAAAGGGGACCTAACCTTGTCTGGTGACTTGAGCAAGCAGTTAAAAGAAGCACTAAAAACTGATGAGTGGTTTTTAGCCCACTCCAATGAGTGTACACTTCGGGAGAGTCTCGTCTGGGTGGGAGCGAAGCTGTATGTCCCCGCCAGCCTGACGGGGGCAGTATTACAATACGCCCATGATGCTAAAATCACTGGGCATTTTGGATTCGTGAAGACATTACATTTAGTTAAACGACAATTCTGGTGGCTGGAGCTGAAGAAAGACATAGACGCCTACATGGCGAGCTGCCCTATATCAGCAAAGAAGCCTCCTGGGAAACCCCCTGGGTTACTACCAGTGGTGGGATTCAATTTTTTTAACAAACGGTTCTGTGGGCGTGGCTTATTTGGGTGGGCATGGCTTGGTGGTCATGTGACTGGGTGGCCGTGGCTATGTGTATAGGGACTATTCAGAGGGCTGAAAAAAGTCATTTCTGACCGGTCCTTGCACTTTTTTTTTTATTGAAAAGTTTTTAAAAATTTACATATATATCCCCCCCTTCCCTCCACCCTCCCTAACCCTCCCCCTCCCACCCACCCCCTCCCTACTTCCCAGAGCAAAATACAGGGTATAACATTCAACAATCATAATCTAACATAGTCTAATTAATTATAACCTCTTACATCTCTCTAATACTTTAACTCCCCATTTACCAAACTAAATTTGAATACATAATAACATCTCTCTATCTATTCGTAAGCTATTTGAAATTTTTTAGTCTGGTATTTATTTTGAATATAATCTATCCATCTTCTCCATTCTATCATATATTTCTCATTTGAATAGTCCTTCAAATACGCTGAGATCTTTGCCCTCTCTTCTAAATTTGCTACTTTTAATATTCATTCTTGAGTAGTAGGCAAATCTTCCTTCTTCCAATAATCTTGCTGCAGTTATTAAATTCAGGATCAAATTAGTCTCTATAACCGTACAATCCGTGATTATACCCAACAAAAATAACCGTGGAGTAAACTTTATCCTCTTTTTAAGAATGTTTTGAATAATCCACCAAATTTTTATCCAAAATGCTTTAACCTTTTTACAAGTCCACCATACATGAAAATAAGTAGCGTCATCACAATCATATCTCCAACATTTAGATTGTAAATTCAGATACATATAAGCTAACTTTTTGGGATCTAAATGCCATCTATAAAACATTTTGTAAAAGTTTTCTCTCAAATTTTGTGCTTGTGTAAATTTTACATTTCTTACCCATATCTTTTCCCATGTTTCCATCATTATTGGTTGTTCAAAGTTTTATGCCCATTTTATTATACAATCCTTAACTAACTCTGTTTCTGAGTCTGTTTCTATCAATATATTATACAACTTTTTTATATGCATTTGACTCTGGTCTCTAATTTGTTTTACCAAATTTTCTTCACTTTGTATAATACCAATGTTCTGATCTTTTCTCCATCAAGCTTGTAATTGTACATACTGAAACCAAGTTTGGATTACCCTTTCTTCCCTTAGTACCCTCAAGGGCTTTAACTTTAATATACCTCTCTCTGTGTTAAGAATTTCTTTATATGTAATTACATCCTGTCTTTGTTCTATACTTATATTCTCTATCGCACGTCTGGGTACTGTCCATATAGGTATCTTGTCATTTAATTTATATTTATATTTCTTCCAGACACGCAATAAAGCATTCCTTAATATATGACTTTTAAAAGTCCTATCAACCTTCTTGTCATACACTAAATAAGCATGCCAGCCAAAAACCAAATCATATCCTTCTATATTCAATAGTCTTTCATTTGTTAAATTAATCCAATCACTAATTGCTGATAAAACAGCTTCTTCATAGTATAATTTTAAGTTGGGCATTTTCAAACCTCCTCTTTCACGTATATCTTGCATTATTTTTAATTTAACCCTTGGTTTCTTATTATTATTATTATTAATGCCCTTCTGCCATTCTTCCAAGTTCGCATCCTTTTTAAGTATTGGTATCATTTGAAAAAGGAATAAAAACTTAGGCAAAACATTCATTTTTACTACTGCTATTCTACCCAACAAAGACAGTTGTAATTTTTTCCAATTATCCATCTCTGTATTTTATGCCATAATGATTCATAATTATACTTATATAATTTCCCATTTGAAGTTGTAATATAAACTCCTAAATATTTAACCTTTTTAACTATCTCGCATCCTGTTACTCTTTCTAATTATTCTTTTTGATTTATTGTCATATTTTTAGTTATCATCTTTGTTTTTCCAATATTTATTTTAAACCCAGATACTTGACCATAGTGATTAATTATCTCCATTATACCTGTAGCTGATTTCACTGGTCCTCGCACTTTTGACTTGTCCTCATACTTATGACCATCCTCATATTTATGCCCATTGCAGCATTCTTAACAACCATGTCACTCATTTCACAACTGCTTCTCTTCACCATGGTGACAAGATAGGGCACAAAATGTAAAATGTGAGGATAGTCGTAAGTGTGAGGACCAGTCAAGAGTGCAAGGACCGGTGAAAAATAACTTTTTCAGCCCTCTGAGTAGTCCATATGCACAAAAGGACTACCCAGAGGGCTGAAAAAAATGATTTCTGATAGGTCCTCGTACTTTTGACCGGTCCTTGCACTTATGACTAGTCATCATTTATGCCCGTTGCAGCATTCTTAACAACCGTGTCACTCATTTCACAACTGCAATGCTTCATGTGACCTGGTGGCCGTGGCCAGGTGGTCATATGGCATCACTTCTTTGCCCTAATGACAGTTTGCTGCAATGTTCATAAGTGTGAAAAACGGTCATAAGTCACTTTTTCCAGTGCCATTGTAATTGTTGTAAATCAAGGATTATGTGTAGAAAAATACAAAAAACTTCTTTGCTTGCAAAAAGCTGCCCTAAATACCAATCATTAGATTAGAAATACCTGCAAACTGAAGTTGCAAATCAGGGAGGGTGCCAGAGCACCTTGAGGAATTAAAATAGTTAAAATGCAGTGATACTATCAGCAGCCAACTCTTGCTCATAAAGTGAAACCCTTTAGCAGAGAGGTCATTTAAACTCTCCAGAATGAAGCAAAGGAGCAAACAGAGTATCTATTGCTTGTTAAACCAATTACCAGAACAAATAGACACAGAACTAGTCAGATTTCCAAAGCTGCTTCTTTTCAGGATCAGAGATTAACATTTTTCCTTCCAAATAAAGCTGAATAGGGAAAATTATCTCATCACTAAACACAGGATTAAAGATCACCAAGCACAGAATTAAACTTCACCAAAAATCAGTTTTAGACCAAAAGTCAGAAAGGGTATGTAAACTCATGTTTGAATGTCAATCTTTCTAGCTAGCCAATAAGCCTTGCTGAATGTCACTCATCTTGGATCTTTGTCATTAAAAGCTTCTGCTTCGTTATTCAATTATTTCTTCAAAGTGCTGATCATTGCACCCTGCCTGGAAAAACTCCAACAGGGGAGTATTTCCTTCCAACAGCGGTGTAAAAAGCTTAAAACAACCCTTCCCCTTTCAGAAAGTCAAGCAAAAAAAAAAACCTCCAAGGACCTCCGGAACCGTAAGCAACAGTAAGCAATAGGCATATTGCTGGAGGGGCAGTTTCTGTTAGCAGAGCAATAAAGATTAGGCTAGGAAACAACACGAAATGTTGTAATTCCTTACAGGATTAACCCTGTAAAGTGGAAAAAAACAAGAGATTTCTTTTAACAACTGGTTCTCCAAACTGCTTAACTACTTAACAACCAGTTCTACCGAACTGGTGCGAACTGGTAGAATCCCACCACTGGTTACTACAGAGTGTAGCCAGGCCGGGAGCCCCATGGAAGGAGATATCCATGGATTTTATTTTTGAGTTGCCCAAAAGTGGAGGAAATACGGTCATTTGGGTGGTCACTGATTTGTTTTCTAAGCAAGTGCATTTTGTCCCATGTCCCAAGATCGGCTAAAACTCTGGCTAAATTGTTTGTCTAGCATGTGTATAGATTACCGGTGTAATAATAGAGCGAATAATCTTGGACAGAGGGGTTCAGTTCACCTCCCACTTCTGGAAGGAGTTCCTGGGGTTGTTAGGCTCCCCCCAGGGAGCTCCACCCACCACCCTCAGACCAATGGGGTTTGTGAAAGAACTAATTCAGTGTTGGAACAATACCTTAGATGTTACATAAATTATCAGCAAGATAACTGGGTGGACTTGTTGCCATTTGCAGAGGTCGCCTATAATAACTCTATACACAGCAGTACTGGTTTTACCCCATTTAAGGTAGCCTCAGGCCAAGACTCCGTGCCCATCCCAAAGTTGCCTCAGGAAAACCCACAGATACCTTCCTTGGCTGACTGGATTGAAGAGCTATGTGGTACCTGGTCTGTAACATGTAAGGCCCTGGACGAGGCTCACCGAGCTCATAAAAACCAAGCTGATAAGAAAAGGATTCAGGGTACGGATTATAAAATAGGAGATAGGGTTTTCCTTTCCACCAAGTACTTGCACACTACCCAAAAGTCGAAAAAAACATGGGCCCAAATACGTGGGTCCTTTCCCTATTGTACGCATAGTTAACCCAGTTACGGTGCAATTAGAGCTGCTTAAAACCTTGCGGAGGATTCATCCGGTGTTTCATGTTAGTTTGCTGAAACCCGAGCGTACGTCCCCCTTGCGTCCGGACCAAGAACCTCCTCCTGTCCCTATACTCATTGAAGGGGAACAGCATTTTGAGGTCAAAGAGATACTGGATTCGAGGAAACATCGAGGTAAGGTGCAGTACTTGGTGGCCTGGAAACACTTCCCATTAGCTCAATCAGAATGGGTAAATGAGTGAGATGTTAAAGCTCCAAAGCAGCTGCAATTGTTTTATTCCAAATATCCTGATAAACCTTAGTTATGGAGCTGTACATATGTTACCTGTTTATGTAATTTTCTATTTTCCTTTATTCTGTTCTTTTTCTAGGACTAACGTCTCTTCTGCAGGATGCCGAATGTCAGACTCCACTTTTATATTACTTGCTTGCTACTGCTGCTATTGAAACGGGGGGAGGGGGGAGCTGTCTGGATAGTTGGGAGGGGGGAAGTGAGCTGGTGGAGTAAATTGGAGAAAGTTTTCCTCAGTGTTTCTCTGCAGCTGGGAGGCGTGCTGATAACCACTCAAGGTCAACCATCCTGGCATATCAGAAGGATGGAGCCATCAGAAGCTGCACCCCACATGATCCCTTGGGGGAATGTGGATTGGATAATCCTGACTGGACCATTGGGGGGGAGGGTTTTAAGGATGCTTTCTATATGTGATTTTTGCACCTATTAACTCAGACCTTGCTTTTCTTTGGTTGCATTCAGTTCATACTCAGTAAAAGTACCTTTCTCCGAAGAGTTTGGCCAGCTGGTGGGCTGAGGGTAGTCCGCTGCAAGGTATGAAGTGTGTTTGCTTGGAAAATAAGTCCATTGCAATCCAGATCGCTGTGTTCCCCCCCCACCCCCCGCTCTTTGGCAACTCTATTATAAAGTCCATTGCAATTTCCTCCCATGGCTCATTGGCTCTGCCACCTGTTGCAGCAATCCAGGGTGGTGGTGTTCCTGGTCTCTTTTTCATGGTGGCACAGACAGTGCAGCTTTTTACATAACTGTCCACATCTTTCGTCATGCCGGGCCACCAAAATTGTCTACTCACTAAGTGTAAAGTCTGTAAGGTCTTATGAATCCAAAGAGGCCCGCCGATTTGACATCATGGCTTCTCTGGAGGATTAAAGTGAATAGTGACTCAGGAAAATAGAGCTTTGCCCCCTTCCACTCTAGGTCCTCCCGTTTTGTCAAGATGTGTTGGTTGTCACTGAACCAGGGGTCTCCTCCCAGTTCGGTTTTGAGCTTCGTAGTTAAATCACTTACAGGTTGGCCTTGCCGGTCACGACGTTGTCGGTGGGTGGTCACTTGGGCTACAGCTTGATAGAGGGGATGATGACGTTTACTGCCTCCTCCCACCTGAATTGGAGCATGCGGGAGAGGGCGTCTGCTAGGAAATTCCTCCCCCCTAGGATGTGTTTTAGCACGAAGTCAAATCGGTTGAAGTATTGAGCCCAGCGGACCTGCTTGGGCAACAGTTTTCACAAGGTCCTAAGGGCCTCCAGATTCTTGTGGTCAGTCCAGACATAAAATGGTTTCTCCCCCCCCCCACTTCCAAGAGGTGGTGCCAGGTGAGTAGTGCCCATCTTACTGCAAAATCCTCTTTTTCCCATGTGGCCTATTGTCTTTCCATGTCAGTGAGTTTATGGGAGGTGTAGGTGCAAGGTTGTAGTTTTCCCTGGCCATTTCTTTGGAGTAGCACTGCTCCCACTGCCACATTGCTGGCATCAGCTTGGATGATGAAAGGTTGTTAGGGGTCGGAGTGTTTCAGTATCGGTTCAAAAAGTACTGGTTTGCAAAAAGTTCTTTAATGTTTCGAATGCCTTTTAGAAGGTTAGGTCCCACTGCAGGGGTTGTCCTAAGCGGGGCTTCATCCCTGAGCCCCCTGTCTTTAGGAGGTCCATCATGGGTTTGGCATTCTTTGTGAAGGAGGGGATGAATTGCCTATAAAAGTTTGCAAATCCTAGGAAGCTTTGTAGCTGTTTGTAGATGCGAGGGGCTGCAACTTTAGGATGGTTTGTACTTACTTTCTTTTCTTTTCTTTTCTTTTTTTTTGTAAACAAGTTTTATTAGAATTTTTCTTTCATCGTACATATTTTATGAACAGAGTGTTGACTGGGTCACATCTTATACATCTTATATATATTAATCTTTATATTAATCTTTATAATCTATTCCAATCTTCCCATTTTTTCCATATTCATCTCTTCTCCATTGTGGGTGGAGACAGCAGCCAGGATGGGGTGTGGTCATCTGTTAGGCCGATAGACTGAGCCCATCAAATTTGCTAAGTCCCGCCCTTGTTACCGGGCAAACCCAGCTTTTGGCTCAGTCTGTCAGCCTAGACAGGCGTGTGGGACTGATCCTCTTGATCCTTTCTACCTTTCCTGGCTGCTTCTTGCCTATCTGACTAAAAAAAATTTTCTATTGTCTTTTTGGTTTGACTTGGATTGTGACTTGGACTTCTTTGGAATTTGATTACAGCGTTTCAGTAAGCAGGGAAGTAAGTCGTTTCTCCCACTCCCCAGTAGCTGGCTTTGCCGGTGGCTTGGGGGGGTGGAGGACATTCCTTTTCTTTTCTGTTTAATTGGGGGAAGCCCTTGAGCCTTCGTGGAGTGTCCGCGCTCCCTTTCCACCCCCACCTGGCCGTTCAGGGGCCCCGGAGCATTTCTAGCCGTCTGTGGAGCTTCGCGCCCCCTTTGGAAGCTCCCGGCGGCCATTTTGGATTTCAAAGTGCCCCGTTTTTTTCTATTTGCCGTTTGGCTTTAATTTGCAGCGTTTGTTGTTTTCAGGTGGAGTTTGACGCTCCCGACGGCATCGAGGGAGGCAGCTTGACTCTTCCCTTCGACCACCAGCTTCCCTATTAATTGAGCGTGCCCTGGGGCTATTTCGCCGCGTTGACAGCTGGGAGGGGCCATCGGCTTAGGCGCCATTCCTCCTGAGTCGCTGGGCGGCGGAGGCACCCTTTTGGCGCGAAATCTCCTTCTGACAGTTTTAAACGCTGCTATCCATTCACGAGCAACAAGGCCCTTGTCATCAATTATAACTAATTGTCTGGCCTTACTTGGGGGTAACCTTTCTGGCGGAGCTTCGCGCCCCCCCACCCCCCCTCCTACTCAGATAGACTGCCTTCTTAACGTGTGCTCTGGAGTGGGGCTTTGCGCCCCCCCGCCCTTGTCTCCCTTTACGGATTGGGACTGGTGCTCCCTGCGCACCCTAGTGTCATCAGAGCATTCTTGGCAATTGCAAGTGGAGTTTTTTCTGCGCTCCCAAAAGTTACTTTCTGGGGATAATCCACTGTACTCGGTTCTGGGCAATTATCTGGCTATTGTATCGCCTACTCTCTGTCATCATGCCTAAAGCTTCCCACAAATCTAAACATGGCCGAAAGGCGGGGACTTCTGATTCTCATCATCATCATCGTGGGGACGTCCCGGCTGCAACGGGCGACTCTTCTGGAGCCTCTTCCAGGCTGGATCCTTCTGACCCTCCTCGGCATCGCAGTAAGGCGGCTACTCATCTTCTTCCTTCCCGGGCGGAAGCTCGCAGGGACAAGGTTCTACAAAAGATCTGCGCCAAGGCCAGCGGTGTTCAGTCGGCAGACAACGAGGCTTCATCCGCTTCGCCTCGCGCTTCTACAGGACTTGGTTCTGTTACACAAGGGGACCATCTCTCCCTTCAGGACTGTCCGGCGGTCATTGAGACAACCGGTCTATGGGGTTCTTCTACGCCCCTGACTGTGGCCCCTTCAACGGAAGCTCCCCCAGCTCCATCTTCTGGAGATGCTGTGCCGGCTGGGCCGCAACATCATTTCTTTCCGTCCCCAGAACAGATACAACAGATGATCGCTGCAGCGGTTCAACAATCTTTGGCATCGCATTTTCAGCCCTCTAGTAGGGCGGGCTCGATACGCTCCGTCATCTCCCCTGCTAGGGAGAATAGGGAGCTGGATGACGCGTTGTCTGTCAACGCTCCGGACTCCCCTGTTTCTTCTATGGCAAGCGGTTCTCCTTCTCAGGTGACTGATGAGCCCCACGACCTGGAGCTTTCGGAGGATGAGGACCTTCCTCCTGAGCAGCCCTCCTTTACGGGCCTTTTTCCCCAGGCCTTGTTTAAATCGCTATTACATAAGGCTATTGCTACGGCCCAGCTTGGCTCTCCTTCACCGCTGCCACCTTCCACTACGAACCCGAAAGGTACCTTGAGTCCTCTCTTTGCAGAACCATCCAGGACAGTGGATACCATCCCCACTCCTCCTTTGTTTCTTGATGTTATTAAGAAACAGTGGTCTGCGCCGGCTTCTGCGCTGACGCCTACAGTAACTGATCGTCGGAACTTTAGTATCGCTCCGGATCTAGATTCGCTCCTACAGGTTCCGTCTGTGGACACCCCCGTGGCTGCCCTCCTACCTCACTCGGCGGTTCCAGGTGATCCTGAGGAAGGACTACGTCCCGAGGAGCGCCGTGCTGAACATGTGTTACAACGAGCCCACCAAAGCGCTTCCTGGGCCATCCGAGCAGCCTCTACGGCCTCCTTTTTTAATCGGACGACTCTCTTATGGCTTCGTCAATTACAAGAGTCATTGTCTACGGAGGACGTCCGGGTGCGGCAAGATCTAAGCAAGATTATTGCCGCCACGCAGTTTTCAGCGGACGCGACCTTGAATACTGCTCGCTTTGCGGCCAAGTCTCTAGCTTCTGCGGTTACTGCGCACCGATTGGTCTGGCTACGCTACTGGCAGGCCGACGCCAGGCATAAATGGCGCCTGGCGTCTGTACCTTTTGCCGGCTCCAAGCTGTTCGGGGACTCCCTCGATCCCTTTCTCTCGGAGACAAAGGACAAGAAGAAATTCCTTCCGGTTGTTTTTCGTAGGGGGGATTCCAGGTTTCGTCCATACCCATCTCGCCCCCAATCTCGCCCCTATGAGGGGCCTTCCACTTCCTCTACCTTCTCTAGGTCGCAGGGGAACTTTCAACCTAGACAGCGGGGCGTTCAGGACAGACCTCCCAGAGGTAGGTCTTTTATGCCCAAACGGCCCCTTCGAGGGGGAGGAGGTCGTTTCTCCGGTCGCCGTCGTTAAGTGCATCCCGGATCCTCCCATAGGGGGCCGATTGGCTCTTTTCGTCCCCGCTTGGGAAGGTTCCACTTCAGACAAATGGGTTCTGGCCACTCTTCGATCCGGGTTGGCCATTGAATTTATCTCCCCCCCTCCGAGGTCCTTTGTTTGCTGCCCTCTTTCTAATGATATCCAGAAACGATCCCTTATGGATTTGGCGGTTCAACACCTTCTTTTGATCAGGGCTATCCAACCAGTTCCTGTGTTGGAGCGGGGCACGGGATTTTACTCCCGTGTCTTCCTTGTGCCCAAGTCCTCGGGGGGGTGGAGACCCATTCTGGACCTCAAACGACTCAATCGGTACGTCCGGTACCGAAAGTTTAAGATGCACTCCCTTAGATCTATTTTGGACGGTGTCAGGAGGGGCGATCTCCTCTCTTCCATAGACCTCACAGAGGCCTATCTCCACATACCTATCCTTCCTGCCCACAGGAAATTCCTTAGATTCTGTTACGGGGGCCACCATTATCAATATCGGGCCATGCCCTTCGGCCTTTCCTCTGCCCCTCGTACCTTTACCAAGGTGCTGGCTGCTTTGGCAGCTTCCCTTAGGGCCAAGTCTATTCGACTTCAATGTTATCTTGACGACATACTGATTCTGTCTCCTACTCCCCAACAAGCTCTTGCCGACTTGCAATTCACTCTCCACTCCCTTTCCGCCCACGGGTTTTCAGTT